TTTTTTTTTTTTTTTTTTTTTTTTTTTTTTTTTTTTTTTTTTGTGTGTGTGTGTGTGTGTGTGTGTGTTTGCAAACGCATGCTCACATGTGGGTTTGAAATTTCTGTGCTATGTCTGGATTCATCTGCAGGTGATGGGAGGATGAAATCCAGCATTCCTGTTCTTTCTGTGTATAATCTGGGCTGGGTGTCATCATCAGCAACGCACGTTCGGTTCCGTAGTGTATATTGGAGGAGATGAGTACAATACCTTGGGGGGAAGATTTGGGCATTGCTTGGTGACTCCCTGCTCTCCCTTTGTACTATAACCAGAAACAAACATGGCACAGCCACAGAGAGATGAGCCCTGAGGGGTGTGTAGGTAGGCAACCATACTTAGTCTATCTTTGAGGTGATAAACTTAATCATTGTCTAGAGCGCAAAGTAGGTAGGCATATGCTTGCTGGGGATCATTCTTGGTATTTACTAAAGCAAGTCGGTGAGGTTTGAGATGGCGGCAGGTCATAGCAATGTGGAATTGCGGTTATGTAATCAAGTCGGCGAGGTTTGAGATGGTGGCAGGCCATAGCAATGTGGAATTGCAGTTATGTACCATGCTGAATTTCCTCCGGAGGACGCCAGCTTTTACTTCTCACGTAAACCTGAAGCGGAAAGAGCAGAAGAGGTTGGGTCTTGAAAGTACAGTATACTAAGTGCGGCGGAGAAGTCATTCTTTGTGATTGTCCTGTCCATCGGACTGTTTTGCCTGACCACTTTGCAATGGGAAAGCTGCTTGGAAGTGTGGGGTGCAGAGTGCACCCCATGGCATTCATTATCATAGCGAGTCTTCTGTTCAGCCTTCTTCTCCTTTCCCCATCAGTTCAGTGGATTCCACTCACTGACTTCAGGATATTGGCCCAGACTTCCAACTGTAGCTTCCTGGATTCAATGGACTCACATGCTGTTTCCTTGGGCGAGGATGCAACGGACTTATCTGTGAAGAGCATGACTCATGCCTTGAACAGATTAGCGGAACGGATGCACCTACTCCAAGTGATGCTTGAACGAGACCGAATCTCTCTCAAGAGAATCCTTGAGGGGTCAAAAGCACTTAGAAGGGTAAAAAATGTCCAGAAGGATGAAGCATTACTGATGGAGAGGACATCTCTCAAGGCTTCCATTGAAAACTTGAGGCAAGCTGTGATCAGTAGTGGTGTTGAGTTTGCCATCATTGGGAAAGTGAGCGAGCAGATAATTAATGTTCTGGAGCCGAACCATGGTGTTCAAGATATGGCTGCCGGATCCATCAAGACAGATGGGAAACATGACATTCCCAGACCCGCAACTAACTCGGGGGAGGTCGGCAACGACACCGGCGGGCATGTCTCTATGACCCCAGAGAGCCGTGACGACGATCGGCAATCCCAAGGTGGTGTCTCTTCTGCGCTAGTAAGTACCAGCAGTGGCAGTGATGATGGAGATGGCAGAGTGCCCGGTGTGACGGTGTCACACATAGTACCTGTTACAAGTGTCACTAACGGTTCAGGTTGCAATCTCGTTTGCAATTGCTCAGCAGTGCAGCCCGCCGGGAATGTTGATTGCTCGCGTGATGGCGATTCTCGTGATGGGAACAGTAGTCATTACTCTGCGTTGGCGAGGAGGGTTGTTCGGAAATGGGGAAGTCTTTTCACTAGCCGTGGAAACTCTAATGCTTTTGAAGAGGGTAGTGATGAGGGCCACAGTGTCAAAGAGGGTGCACAGTTGACGAGAGATGCACACGAGGAGGAAAAAGAGGTAGAGGAGCTCCTGCTGCAGTTTAAGCCCCCACCCCATTTACAGGACTGTGGTCGTGCGACCAAATTGTTTTCAGAAGCAGACAGAAGAAACCCAGATGGTTCTCTCCCAAACTGGGCGCTTGACGAACCTCCGAAATCGTTCTTGGAGGAGTTGGGTGGTATCCTTGTAGACTCCTCTGGTTCCGCATCAGATTCTATCCATGGGCCCTTTCCTCCCTGGATTCATGGCGGTGATGGTGATAACTTGCCGTTGACTCGTATTGTACAGAGGGACTTGTGGACTCTTCAGCATCCAGGCAATTGCAGCGCCCCGGACGTCCGATTCGCTGTGGCAGAGTGGTGGCCCATGAGTTACCATGGAATAGGGTCACAACTTCATGGCATGACAGCGTTGCTCGGTGCTGCCATTGAAACGGGACGAGTTCTTGTGCCCGTCAACAACTACCAGCGAGCGGATCAAGATAACTGCAAGGGGGATTTGCGTAAACGTCTCGACTGCTATTTCTTTCCGCCAACCTCGCCGGAATGTTACCGGCGTGCCATGGAACTCCTAGAACAAGCAGAGCGACAGGAAAAGAAGGCGAAAGAAGAAAACAGGACCATGCCGTACAGAGCTAAGGATGAAGGGGTTTGGCAGCTTATGGACGACAAGAACTTGCCTCTGGTTTACCTGGAGCATGGCAATGCGTTCAGCGCACCTGGAAGGATCCCACAGCGATGGGGATCACCATGGAAGAAGACGGTATTGTCCGTCATAATGGATGGGAAAGTGTTCGGGCAACTTCAAGGCGATGGAAGTCGGACGCAGTGGTGGAGGGCCCAGGCCCTTCGCTATCTTCTTCGTCAACCGACCGAGTATCTGTGCCAGGTCGTAAATCATGTGCGCAACCGTGCTTTTGGGATGCTAGTTGCAGAAGGGATTATTGCATCCTCGAGGCGCTTGAGGAACGAGTCTCTCTACTTCGTCGATGTGAAGGACAACCTTAACGACTGGCACCGTGTCAACATCACAGAGGATGATGAGATGAATGCCCGTCGTGACGGTTCGCTTGTTGCTACGGGGCAGGGTCTGTACGTCCCTCGCCCCTTGGTCAGCATTATTGTTCGCTCTGGCGCATTCAAAGCCGGCGAGATGAAGCTGTACAGCCTCCCATCCTTCATGCGGATCGCCGAACGGATCCGACAGTACGATCCGGACCTGAAGCATGTATGGCTAACTGCCGATGTTCAGGATTCCATGAACCAGAGCAGTCGATATGATGCGTGGAAGTTTTTCTATTCCCATCAGCATAGGTTAACGAGGGATGAGGAGGACTGGAAGCTAGAGATGGAGGGGGGACAAAATTGGGATTCAGAAACTGCTCATGCAGATTTCGAGGTCGTGGAAACGTCGTTCGCAAATCTGCTTATATCGTCCGAGGCAGACTACTTCATTGGTGTTTTGGGATCGAACTGGGCCAGGATGGTGAATGAGATGAGAATGACAAATGGCCGCTTGTCCCGCAAGTACATTACGGTTAACTATGGCGAATGGAGGAGATGACTCATCATGACTGGCTGCTTCGTTTTCTCCTTCAAGTTGGTGCTGCTGCCATTGACTTCCTGCTGACGTTGTTCTGCAGCATTGCTCTGACACAATGGTCGAGACGTTGTTCATCCAGTGGCATTCGTTCTGCAGAAGCGAATGGAGGAGATGACTCATCATGACTGGCTTTCGTTTTCTCCCTGGTGCTGCTGCCATTGACTTCCTGCTGACGTTTTTCTGCAGCATTGCTCTGACAGGATGGTCGAGACTTCATCGCGTGGCTGACGGACGGCCTTCCCATGTAAGTCTGTTTTGTGGCTGATGGCTTTCCTGAGTGCAGTGAGCGGCTATCTTGGTCCTGTGTTGACTCTGGTTTTCGACACTGTTCCGAAGTCGTGGCAGTCTCCGAAGCCCAAATGGCAAATGGGATAAGAGGCAATTGTGTCCTATCATCCCTATGATCCCGACTAGATCCTGGAGGCTGTGTTTATCCAGACGGACATTACATGGGCCCTATTGACTACCTCCGTTCCCGGACCTAAAATGTTGAGGTCTGTTTACTAGCCCAACTTGCGACCTGCGAACCATGCTGGGGTCGGGACCACCGCACCCTCAGTCTTCAGAGAGTTAGCTCTGAAGCACAACGGTTAACGCTCTTGACGTACATGGTGGGGTCGAGACTTCATAGCGCGGCTGATAGACGGCCTTTCCATGCAGAAATGACGCCGGGTACGTACCATGAAGGTTGTGCGATCCATGCTGGGGTCGCCGGGGTCACCACGGCATGGTTCGCACAACCTTCATAGCAAGCACTAATCATCCCCAGCAAACCAATCTTATCTAAAAGCACAACTTTCATGGTACACCCTCTTCGTGTACTACGTCTCTGGGTCCTTTCTGCCTGCTAGCTTGGGTTATATTAGTGCGGTCCAAGGAACGACCTGGTGCACACGACAGTCACGGTACGACCTCTTCAACTCGCTTTTCGATTAGATTGGCTTGCCCCCGAAGTTGCCGCGGATGCTGGGAGTTCATTTGGTGCTGGACCCCATGCTTGGGTCGGGCGACTCGGGCCCGCCATGACCTGGTCCAGCAGACTGAGTCTGGGTTGAGTTAGCTGGCACAGCTGACCCATGCCTGATCTCTGTGTATACCGGTGTGATCCAAGGAAGGTCACCGTGCGCAAAAGACAAACACGGTACAACCTCTCCAACCAGTATAATTCCAATCAGACTCGCATGCGCACTGTTGGGAATTTGTGTGGCGCGGCACACGCTTGAAGTTCCTTCTTCTGCGCACCGAGGTCTGCGCTCATTGTGACTTAATGGACTGGTGGGGGCAATCAGTGTGTATCGTATTTGGCGCACCTTCCTCTTTAATCAACATGGCATTGTATTGGCTGAGAGATAAACCAGCTAAGCGAGATAAGCCTTCCTCTTTCCTCGACATGTGTTGGGTTCAGTTCAAACCTGTATGTTGCCTTGTTTTGCCCAGGAGTTAATTTTTCACATGTCATTGAGCATGAGCATGTTCTTGTAGTTCAGTTCGAACCGGTATGTTGCCTTGTTTTGCCCAGGAGTTCATTTTTCACATGAGCATGAGCATGTTCTTGTAGTTCATGACTGTGCTGTCAGGGCACACACGAGTTCTGGCCATCATCCATAGCATCACTCGCGTCCCACACCGCATATTATCCCCATTGCTCGGACACTTACGCGACTCCATCTTCACTCTTTTTCTCGCTGTTGTTACTGACAGTTTCCTGGTAGTGCTCCTTTCAGGGGTGCATGAAAGGGGTCTCCACTTCGATTGCGTAGACTGAAATAAAATTTGTAGATATTAGAAGGAACACCAAAAGCGAAGGCAGCTTCCTGGGTCTCTACTGACGCTGAGGTGCGAAAGCATGGGGAACAAACAGGATTAGAAATTTAGAATAATTACTGATTCATTAGATAGATCCGGCCAGGCTCTAATAAAACACGGCCAAAGGTGTCCCCTCTAATCGTAAGATAAGAGTGTGCATCCAGTTATATCGGGAAAACATTCATTTACATTACTTGGATTGTAGTAGGTTGGTCTAGTATACTAGAAAGAGTACACAATAGCTTTTTTAGTTCGGGAAGCTTTCGTGATTGCTGTGTTTTGCACGTATGTCACGATCTATATAGAAAGGTCCATTTGTCGGTGCTTGTCTGTTGAAAAAGCATTCAAGTGTGGATGGCCAGAGCTGGAAATTTTGGTTACGTAGATCTTGTATTTTGCCGTAATTTGTCGGTTACTATGCACAAGTTTATAATAATGGAAAATATTTTGTTGGTTTACAGATTGCTGAAGATAACCGTTGGATAAAAGGGGTGTCTACTTGGAACTGTGGCAGATTGGCACAGAACGAGGGTTGTCTTGCACCCAACTTATTTGGGTGCGTGGTACAGGCATGTAGCTGTTGCTAAATAGTTATGAGGGTCATAATAATTGCCTTTTGCTTCGGTTCCCGCTCAGCTTGGTACGGAATTATGAAGGTTGTCTTGCACCCACGTTCTTTGGGTGCGTGTTGCCCCCCACGAATAGACCGGAGCAATAAAAAAAAACGTTCTTTGGGTGCGTGGTACATGGCATGTAGCCATTGCTAAACAGTTATGAGGGTCATAATTGTCTTTTGATTTGGTTACAGGGTGTGTTGCTGTTGCTAAACCGTTACGAGGGTCATAATTGTCTTTCCCTTTGGTTACGTGTGAATCTCTCCCAACGAATATAGACCGGAGCATTTGTTATTCAAAAACACATTGTCAATAAAAATAATTTTTTTTGGGTGCATGGTACAGGGTATGTAGCTGTTGCTCAACAGTTATGAGGGTCATAATTGTCTTTTGATTTGGTTACAGGGTATGTCGCTGTTGCTAAACCGTTATGAGGGTCATAATCGTCTTTCCCTTTGGTTACGTGTGAATCTCTCCCAACGAATAGACCGGAGCATTTGTTATTCCAAAACACAATAAAAATAAAAATCTTTGGGTGCATGGTACAGGGCATGTAGCTGTTGCTCAACAGTTATGAGGGTCATAATTGTCTTTTGCTTTGGTTCCTGATGCCACACATCGAATGTTACAGACTCCGCCAGGGCTCGATCCCTGGTCTATCCTTTTGCTGTTTCTGCTACATCCCATTTTCGGCTGGCACCCTTTTTTCCCAAACCCCTCCTTTGGTACCGTCGGATTTTGGACAACTGGCACCATGCTGCAATTCGGGCGCCACTTTCAAATACCGCATTTTTCAGTTCTGCCCTCGGGGCTTTTGCGGAATGCCCCTGGTACCGTACGTGTCACCGGTACTTATACCGGTTCCCCATACAGTACGGGGACCAGTCTCGTACCAGTTTTCAGCTGCTGTACTCGTACTCAGTGTGACTTGCTGTTTCGGCATTCGGAATCCAAGACTTCGACTTCGTGCCCTCGCCACTGTGTCTGCGTCCGACCCTCAGTCGTGTCGAGTGAGTGTGTGTGTGTGTGCTCTCACTCTCTCCCTCTCTCTCTCCTCTCCCTCGGCTCTCCCTCAGCCTCACGCTCGTCACATCGAAGCCTTCCCTAGTTCTGTTTCGGGAGGCGAGGGCGCCCGAGGGGTATCCATTCACCAAGTACTTTTGACTACGGTTACCATTACGGTTATTAGAAATGTTGAACTCATTGCTTAGATACAAAAAAAAAAAAAAAAAAAAAAAAGATACAGAGCCTTCCCTAGCTCAGTTGGTACACTTACCAACTCTGAGTCAGTCTGCTTGTAACAGTTCTGTTGAAACACAGACCTAGGTTCAAATCCAGATGCATTTGGATATAAGTTATACTAAGTTATAGCTACGAATTTACCAACTGAGTCTTCTCAATTCACCAACTGGGGGCGGTCCGTTCGACGACAATATTCAGACTCTTTCAGAGCCTTCTAAAGAGGGCTTTTACGCTAAAATTAGCCATTTCTGAAGACTCTTCTTAGGAAGGAAAGTTTCAAAACCTATATTATGACCTGCTATTGTTCCAGCTGTGAGTATCAAATGCTCACAGTTATCATGTTAGTTCCGGTTTCCTACAGATTATCTAATTGTCTATGGGGAAATTCACTAGGCTAGGGGTTTCACGGATTTAGTGGGAATAATGCACCCAGAGATTTGTAAGCATGCGACATGTTTTTCGGTTTTGTGCTGAGGGCAAAGAACCTTCACTAATGAATTTGACAGTTAAGAGTTCAGTACTATTTACTATGTAGTTCTTTATGATTCATTTCCGAGATTGAGACATCCTCAAAAATTGACTATGAAAACTCCTCCTCTTCTTCTTCTTCTTCTTCTTCTTCTTCTTCTTCTTCTTCTTCTTCTTCTTTCTTCTTCTTCCTCTTCTTCTTCTTCTTCTTCTTCTTCTTCTTCTTCTTTCTTCTTCTTCTTCTTCTTCTTCTTCTTCTTCTTCTAAATAAAAACAGGTCCACAGAGACTCTCTCTTCTTGTACTAGCCTACTAGGCAGTGGGCAGTATACCTTTTGATTATGGTATGGTACTGTCAGATTTAAAATGAAAGTATATACTATATTTGCTATTTTGTCTTTAGGTGTCTATCATGGTATTATAACCTGTATGATTATGTTGTTTATTGTCTTGTAGGAAGAAAACCTGACAGTGTATTCTCCGATCTTCATTTTGAAGTTGAATAGGCTATAGCCCCTCCCAGGATAATAAGCTCAGAGATTAGGACCGGTCTTTAGACTATAGTTTTTTCTTTTTTCGTTTTCTGTCAGGGGGGGCCACCAGCTGGGGGGTCGGGGGTTAGGAGAACGTTTACCAGTTTTTTTAACTAAGTCTTATTTTTGACTCACATTGACTGTAATGTAATGTCGCTGCAACGAGCTCGGAACTTCAACCGGCGGCGAATAGCTGCAGTGTACCCTTGGAGCCTTGACTTTCCGGTGTTTCCATGACTACTCGACGGCGTTGAAGTGGTACTAAGACTACGCTATGCGTCCCAACTGTGAGAAGCCTGGCTATTCGGCTACTACTGGCCAACGTACTTGCGGCAAGGCAGGCTACTTGGTCTTGGACTGTACGTGTGGCGAGTTTGGGTATTTGGAAATTGCAACACAGCTGACAATGTGGTGAGCCTAGCCATTGCCAGCATACTTGTACAAAATTTGAAGTTTTGAAAACAGATTCACCCAGATTTTTCGAGGGACAGCTTCGGTGAAGACTAGTCCATTACATGGTTGACCTTTTGAAAAAGAGGCCATCGCCTCTGTCACACTGTGCCTCCGCCGTCACGTGCACCTTACGCACTTCTCATCACTGGGGTAAGAGGATGCCTCCCTTTCCTCCGTAACGTTTCTTTCTTTCTTTTCTTTTTTTTGCGCAGGGGCCATGCTAATCTTGTCTCTATCGTTCCAAGTTTAACGGATGTCGCGAAGGACCCCTTTCCTTTTTCACTTTACGACCCAGGCGCAGGCGAGCCCGGGGATGCTCGCAAAATACATGTTGGTAAAGCCTGGCTATTGCTAACATATCACTTGTGGCAAGCCTGGCTATTCTCAACCTACTAAGTCTTGTGGTGAGCCTGCCTATAAAGGCAACATAGTACTTGTGGCAGGCCTGACTATTCGCAAGATGCATTGAATTGCTGGTTATCATGTCTATTACAAGCCTGGCTATTGGCTATTGGGAACATATTACTTGCAGTGATTCAGAATCTGGATATTATTTGCAAAATATACTGAGTATTGCGGTGAGCCTGGCTATTGGCAACATACTACTTGTGGCCGGCCTGACTATTTGCAAGATGCTTCTCAGAGTCTGACTGGTTATCATCTCTATTACAAGCCTGGCTATTGGCTATTGGGAACATATTACTTGTAGTGATTCAGAATCTGGATATTATTTGCAAAACATACTAAGTATTGTGGTGAGCCTGGCTATTGGCAACATACTACTTGTGGTGACTCTGGCTATTGCTAGCCTGGCTATTGCCACATTTGTCGCAAGCCTGGCTATTTGCAACATACTTGCGGTCACCGTGTCCATTGGCAGCATAGTTCTTGTTGGCGAGCCAAGCCTGGCTATTCGCAACAATATAGTACTTATGCGAGCTCAGTTATCGCCAGCCTACTGGGTAGTTGCAATGAGCATGGCTATTGCGAGCCTGGCTACGGGCAGCATCAAGGATATGAAACAGAAGCGCAGAGATGTTCGAGGAGAGCGGTGGCTGTGGAGACTACTCCATCCCATGTTTGCAGAACAGCCAAGCACCCCTGCCTCAGTGGACATGGTTGTGCATATCATCAGATTCTTTATTGTCTGTAAAGATCAATAGCCATTAAAATTACTTGTGGGCTGCCCTGACTGTTGAATGTATATGAAACAGATTTAATTTAGAGGGAGAAATTCAAGGAGCAGTGGTGGTGAAGACTAGTGTGTCGCATGACATTGTTTGAAGAAGAGGCCAGCATCCCTACATCCTAGTGCCACTGGATGAACATGTACACACCTTCAAGTTGTCTGTAACAACCAGTAGTCATCAATTAGTCACTGTGGTCATTAACAAAATGAAGCCGGTGTCACTGAGCCTGTCTATCCTACAGCATAGTACTTGTGGTAAGCCCAGGTATAGGAGGCATACTTGTATGAAACAGATGCACTGAGATTTTTGAGGGCCTGCTGTGGTGAGGACTAGTGCAGTAAAGGTTTGAAGAAGAGGGCAACACCTCTAAATCAGTGGACAAGTATGTGCAATCTCACCTGCCTGTAGTGACCAAGAGGCGTCAATTACGGCCTCCGCGGATTCTCTGTTGCGTGTTGCAGACCAAAATTAGGGCAACACCTCTGAATCAGTGGACAAGTATGTGCAATCTCACTTGCAGTGCCTGTAGTGACCAAGAGGC